AGTTGGTTCAGTAAAGGTTGTCTCGATAGGGGGAGGAAAGGGGATGCTCATGGCAGGAAGGTTTACGGGCGCCACTGCTTGTGGCGCATTTAAGCTGGGAATCCCATCCACCGAAAGGGGGATGGTGAACTATCCGACGCACACCACGGGGACTTGAAGTTGTTCCCCGGTGCTGCTTGTCTCCGTGCCACATCCGGCGTTGCTGGAAGAAGCCATGAGTGTTGGGTTTTTTGAAGAAAAGAGGTTATGAGAGTTTGGAGGGAGGCTTTTTGAAGCGTTTCCCACAGACAGCGCCAATTGATGGTGCGGAATCCGGCCGGTCTTAGCTGTCAACGACCTTGCCTCTGAACTGAATCGCAAGGAACCTGAAACGGAGAAGATGAGGAAGCTCCGGGGGGAACCCGGTGTAAAGGCTCCGAAGCTCAAGTTAGAATCCTTCAAAGGCAAGAWAWAACCARRTAGCRCAAAGTTTGCATACCTTGTTCTTGGGGGGTAGAGAGCCTTTTATAACCACCTCGCACACTCACTCCTAAGTTTTTGTCAGGTCGGGTATGATTACTTTCGTGCTTCTGCTAGTTTGGGTGTCATCACCTCTGCTGGGGCAGAACCGCCACTGCTCTTTTTGTTGGAGCCGTCTCTATAACTGGAGATGGCAGTGGCAGGTGGCGATGGTAGGTGGTCGTTGAAGTGCAGCTGTCAAGCGTCAGATCTCGAGTCAGTCAGGTGCGCTGCCCCTGGATACGGACTCCTTCGGTGTCAGGTACGGTGTGGTTTTTCTAGTTCGGCGTCCTGGAGGCGAAGTGCTAGAGTGGTGTGCAAGGTGGTCTTGAGTTCGGATAGGGGAGTGTCCCGAACTGCCATGAGGCGGGCCAGTTCGGGTCACTGCTTTGTGTGGCTTAGGGCCTAAGGGAGAGTTCGGGCTCCTCGTAGGGAGTTCGAGCTCTTAGTAGGGATGTCGGGCTCCTCGTAGGGAGTTCGGGCTCCTCGAAGGGAGTTCGGACTGCTGGTTTCTTTCCTTTGGTGCTTGCGCCCTGGATATGCTGTTTTAAGTGTCGAGCTATTCGTTTTTGCCACGTGGAATGATTGCGAGGTCAGGCCAAATCTTCCTTCATCAACCAAACTATTTTGCCATGAAAACCAAACCAGACCAAATTATTTTATTATGTTTTGGTGTGGTTTCTAATATGGTTGGGGGGAACTTTATACCATTCTTTGATTCTATTGGGCTTAACCCAATCAGAAAGCCCAAATTGCACCCGTAAAAATTAAAATATAAAAGGCAATAATTTTTTTAAAATAGTACTTGGGTATGTATACATACACGAATTTTTCACACTAACTTAAAGAATTTTGGGATGGTATTATATTGCATTAAGAGAAGATGACAATCATTTAAAAGTAAACTTTGGAATTGAGAAATCCTTTACTCGGGCACTATTCATATTTAGGCGAACCAAAATTTTATTTTAGAATCTTCCTCTCGTTATCTCAGACTTTGACTTGTACCAATCTTTTTCTTTTCATCTTTTTTATTTTCTTATTTTGTAGATGATGTAGCCTGAATTTTGCATCTCGGTACCCAGGTATCTTCTTGGAAAGCCAAAAATAGAAACCTTACCCATCTAATCAGGCATAGGGAAAGTAAATCTACAGATGCAAAAGAACATCAATTAGTTTCAAGTTCAACTGTATTTCCTCATTTAAAATCTTGCACGGTTGCACCATGATTAGGTAAAACTTTTTCAATCCTAACAAAATAGGAAGGAATTGCCCACCACTAACCATTGGCAATTTCTCCTTGCACCTTACATTTTTTCCACACACATGGGTCGATAGATGTCACACACACACGTCCTACCTGCACCTTACATTTTCGTTTATCTTTGATTGGTTCCTGAAATACGTTTCCATATGAATCAATGAGAGAAAACCATCGTTGTTCCTGAAAAGTCCACGAACAGTCATTACCAGTGAGCTCGAGTCATGGTCCTGGGACTGACAGTGATGCACCTTACAACCCAGATCAAAGGAAATGCTAGAGAGAGAGAAGTCGATGTTTGTCTGAGAGAGTAAACTGCAGTACTGCCAAAGGGAGACAAGGAGGAGCGCGGCCGGCCGTCTGCCCATCTCCACAACATGGATTTAGTCCCTCTTTTTGAATTAAAAAGATAAGAATGAAAGAAGAAGAAGAAGAAGCACAACAAGAACCAGCAGTAGTAACACTAGTTAATAAGAATAAATAAACACAATTAGTCGATCGAGGAACAGAAGAAAGAACGAGCTACAAAAGAGGAAAAGGGGGGACCCGACAAGCAGAAGTCAATTCCCGAACCACCACCCTTGCAGACTGGTGAAGCCAGCGCATTCGACATCAATGCGGGTTACTAGCCTTACCAGGAAGCAAGGATACCACCTGGTGCGCTCTTGACTCCCTCTGTCCTTTTACCATTTCATTTGTTCCTTACACACTACAATTTCTATTCAAACTCTCACCTACTTCCCTACACATTCTTCCTCTTTCTTTTCCTTTTCACAAATTATTTATTTTCTACTACAAGAGCCCTTTGTGGGCCTTTTGCCGGGTTCCCCCCTGCAAATTACCCAAAACCTCCCCACCTCTTTCCTTTACAATATAAAACACGAAAATGGAATTCTTTGGCACTAATACCAACCTCTCAAATGACAATAATGCCGTCCTTGCTTGATTGGAGGGTATTATGGTCATTTGACAAAAAAATTTATATCTAAACCATTCCAACTTGATTCTTCCAGACTGTGAGAGTGTGGAGGAGAGGACTGAGGAGGGGAGGCTTCAAGTAATTCCGGTGAGGAACCCTACATTATCAAGATATCTCTCAATCAGTTGCAGCGGCCGGTTCAGTGGAGGAGCCCCCACTCACGCCACCACCAACAGAGTTGTTGCTGCTGTTGCTAAGAGCTGCGTTGATTTGGTGCACGGCATTGCATATATGATTGTTGACTGCAGTGACACTTGATAGGTTGAGCTTCGCGGATGGGATGGTGCTTGCCAACACCTGGAGCCCTACTGTAAGTAAGCAACCTGCAGGAGCTTGCCCATTTCCCTCTTCGGGTGATGGCACACCATTCCCGTTGTTGCAGCTTACGCTACTGTGCCCTGCCGGGACTACAACGAACCCTATTGGGAGGAGGGGAATGTAGGATGGGTCCTCGCCACTCATTGCCAGCTGAACAGCATCAACGTCCATGGTGGAATAGACAATGAGGCTGCCGGATGTATCGGTGCAGCTCTCCTGCAGCATGAGCTCAACGTTCTGTGATGAGTTGCTTGATGCCTGCATGCATGCAAAGCTAATCAGTCAAATTAATTTGTTCATTCAAAATAAGAATGAACCGAGCTAAACTCTCAATTGTATAGTTATTTACCATTCATAACTGATAAAAGATTCATTGATAAAAAAAAAACCGAGGAAATACGTACATTTATGCGAAGAAGAGAAATGCAGTTCCCAGGATGAGAGCCATTGGCGATGTGAGCAACTTCATGTAATGAGTTCCCACTAGAGAGAACGTCCAGCTGTGGACAAATATTGTAAGTTAGTTCTGTGTCTCTCTGCAGTCTGCATAGTCCCCGTGGTGAATTGATAAATGGAATCGAAGGGTATCATGTTGATAAGAGAGTTAGCACAAACCTGAGATCTGCGGCGTTCATCCCGCAAGAGGTCGAACACTTGGTGGCAGGGAAACGGGAGCCAAGATGTGGAGACGGCACCAAGGATCGTGCCATTTGGTTGGCCAGGTTCTGTGTTCTTCCTGGTTGTGATCCGAACGGTGTCATCGGCGGTATCTGAGAGAGCTGTCCACGACTGGCCTCCAGTTGTGCTAATGCTAATGCAGAATGTTTTTATCATTCTTTGTGCCAGTTTCATCAGGTTCTTTCTTGCTTCCGGAGAAGGTATTACTGCAAATTCCAGGATTAGATGAATATATGTCAGGCATCTCTCTCCCTCCCTCCCTCCCTCCCTCCCTCTCTCTCTCTCTCTCTCAAAATGTACGTAATTATGTCGTACACTCGATCTGGTTATAAGAGAAGATCAGAAGAAAGCAATACCTCCAAGATCGGATATATTTCTTGCCATGAGGCTTGCGAATCTCTCACATTGCCGTTGTAGGACTGCTAACCAGCGCTGCGCACCAAATGCCATACCACTGTTCACGAAGTGATTAAATATTTGATGTACTGGTTTATCTTCTATCTCTGCCTGTTCCACCCATGTCACCTGTATGGAATGGCTTAGCAGAATCAATAGGCTGGCATTATCTCCACAAATCCTTTATCTATTTTGCAAAGACATGATCCATAAATCCTTATCTATTTGCTAAAGGAAATTTGGCGAAGAGGATATTGTGTTGTTCATTGTTAAAGAAACATTATTGTAACCATGTAAATTGCAGCAACTAAATTAAATTAATTTAGAGATAGAATAGAGAAGAACAATAGATATTATCAGTAGAAGTGGAATGTTAAACCTTACCCTGGAGTATCCATTAGGCATATCCTCAATAATGCAGCCAGAGGGTCGTCTTCTGTATCTAGGAAAGCTGGCTTGAAGATTGTCATGGAAATTATCAATTGGGAAATCAACGATTGCCCAAGTCCCCTCCTCCATATTTTGTTGGCAATAGCGAAGAAAATGAGCCTCACGGGTTGGTACCAAAGGAGACTGAATTTGAAACTCTGCATACATCTACGTACCCAGAAGGGAAAAAAATGGGGAAAAGGTTGAGATCACGAATATTTAAGCGGAAGAAGATTTCGCAAAAAATATAAATAAGGGATCCTTACGAGAAGAAGAGAACCGCTTGCATGACCAGAAACGCCAGAAGTTATAACCTGAACATTTCTTGCTTTTGACACAATGGATGGAAACAGTTCCACCCATTTATTCTGCAAAATAAGAAGAGAATTAAGGGTTTCTGAGTTCTGGGTTTTTTATATATGTAAACGAGTAGATCAACAGGAAGAACCAAAGATCAAGCAGCGTATAATCTAGCATCTTGCTACTTAAATGGGGACTTACAGCATCTAAGAAGGCATCCACCAGTGTGATGCTATTCATTATAACAAGAGCACTATCTCGGGTGGCTTCAATCCTGAACTCAGTATTATGCTGTTTGACGTTCATTGGCCATGGAAACATCCTTGCATGCTCTTCCAGGTTGAGAACTTCCCTACCACCATTGCTGCTTCGAACCCAAAGAGGATCAGTCGCGTGGCACATCTTTACCAGTTCATCCATCGCTGCCATGGCAAGTTCTAGAGCTAAAGGCTTCTCTTGTTCCATGTTCATACAGCCCCCAGCAAACTGTGGATTCTCCGGCAATGGGGCCACCGGAACTATGTCAGTGCAATTGGATATAGGCTCGTGAAAATGCCTAGAGTAGATTCCCATGTCAAGGTCCAACGAAGGGAGTAGCAGAGGCGGTGCAGGCGCCAGTGCTTGAATGGACCGACCACTGTATCGTGAAGCAACGCAAGAGATACGTTCAAGCTGCAACAGTAGCTCGATCTTAACTTAAAAATTTATACCTTCCAGTACAAATTTCCTTGATTCATGTTCAAATGTGTTGAATCAACAGAAACTACTGTAAATTCACTTGTCTATTATATTATAACTGTCTTAAGTGAAACAATCAAACAAGATATTCAGTTGCTTACGTTCTCATTGTCTGTAAACAGTACCTCTTCTTTGAGTTTGGCATTTTCAAGGCGAAGGTGCTGTTCATCGAACGAGACCTCCCCCAGAATGGCCGGACCACCACAGTTCGGACAGATAATATTCCTCAACGCTGCTTGAAGACGGAAGTTCTCGTTCTTTAGGTTCTCGTTTTCTGTTCTCAGTATCACGTTATCTGCTCGGTCTTGTTGAGCCTGTTACACCAAAGACAGACAGAAACACAATAAATAAGCATGGCTTTGATTCTTATCCTAAGCACACCGGTGCACTTTATTTGTTCTGCAACCTTGAGAGTTGAGAGAGATCATTAAAAGTTTGGGCTGGACTCTACACCAAGATCCTTACAGCTGCTTACAGCTTACCACAGTACTGGTTCTTCAACCAGGGAAACACATGAGCAGGTAGGGTTTATTGCGCAACCCAGTGTGTATTTAAGGAGTTTCCAACCATTATAAATGAGCTTCTCTCTACAGTGCGGGAGGGTTGATGCCTTGATGGTTTACGCGTATACACAGACCCCCTCGTTCTCGAAAATCGAGATTGCGTGTGTCAACAGTTGGCAGCAACAGCAACCAGCTCTCCCCGATTTACAGAATTAGGGTTTGGACTCTTGGACTTCTGAAGAAGTTAAGGAGGAATGGGGGATGATGCTAAAGTGCGCACCTTCATCTGCGTTCGCCGGTTCTGGAACCAGAACTTGACTTGGCGAGGTTTGAGGCCGAGTTCTTGGCTCAGTTTCATCCTTTGCTTGTCGTCCGGGTGCGGACATTCTTTAAACAGACTGATCTCAGAAAATCATTAAAACAAAGAATAATGCATTAGAAAACTGGTCATGAAACAATTCACAATTCAGTATTGATACACCGGAGTGCGTAAGATAACGACTGAGTCCAGTTCAGAGAGAGAGAGAGGGGGGGGGGAACCCTACGCTTCCATCTCCTGAATCTGGCGAGCAGTGTGTCTGTGATAACGTTTCTTCTTGGGCTGCTGCTCGTTCTCCTGCTCATCACCGGACAGAGACGGGCCTTCGGCATGGCCACTGCCCGAGCCGCTTCTCTCCATCTCCTCGTCCTTCCCTTTCGCTATTCCAATTTCTTCCTTCTGCAAGAAGGCGCAATGCACACGATTATTAGGCTTCTCGCGAGTGGTTTATTTTCTTTTTTTTTTGAGCGAAGAAAGTAACCATAAAAAGAGGGACTTGACTAATTGTGCTCGAGTAGAAAAGGAAAGTTACCGGAATGATAGCAGAGAAAGGATGGAAAGGGAGGTTAGCCATGAAATTGAGATTAGGGTTTCGGATCGGCGACGAGAAGAGCGGGTCTGCAGAGACTACGTTTCCGCCTAACGACGACAGTACCTGACAATCTCCTCCTCCATACATTCTCGCTACGAGACAGAAATTAACCCAGAAAAAAAAAGACACGATCAGATGGTTCTTCTTTGCATCACTCGAACCAGACCTCCACTTTTTCCTTTTTTTATTCCTGTCCTTCACAGAAACGAAGCAAGAACAACAGTAAATCATGCTGAGGAACGTTACTTTTAACCGAGGCAAAGAGACTTCGCAATCTGCGAAAACCAGTACGAATCCACTGGAATCGTTCGAAAGATAACGTAGAAAAGTGCAGAAGATGTCAAAGTATATAAGAATCTACCAAACTGAGTAAACTGAAAAGGAGAAGCATCTACAGAGACTCGAATAATATTCCAAAATAAACCCGAAAATCCTCTCAAAACATCTATTCCCAAAAAAAAAAAAAGAAAATGCAGTAAATAAAACGATAAGACGAGAGAGAGAAACCCAGATCGAAAATACGAAGAAGAATCTCTCAAAACTCAAAAGCATTGATACCTACAGACCTGATACCTCTGAGCAAAGTTGGAAAAAAATTCTGAAGATCTTAGAGTTCCAAAACCGCCATGAAAGCTTGACAATGAATTAAAGGAGAGATGAGATCACCAGAGACTCAGAGTGAAAGAAAATAAATAAATACCAGTGTCGGTGTTTTCGGAAATGGAGAAGTCGGAGAAGCTGAAGCCTTAAAGGGTTTTTTTGCTTTGGTTGCTGGAATTTTCAGACCGACGACTCACTCTCACTCACAGCTCCGCTCTGCCCTCTCTTTCTCTCACTATAATTTCACTCTCCCCGCCATTACTCGGTAATTATTAGTTACCGTACGGGGTAAATGCGACTTTAACTATGGTTGACAGAAACCGATAACGCCAGTTAATCTCTCAATACTGTTCAACCGACACGTGGATCTGTTTCACTGGGAGAGGAAGCGTTTCTGAGAAGGATGAAAGTCAACCTTCTATCTTCAGTCCTTTGTATTCTGTCCAAATCTAGGGATGTGATGAGACATGTCAAGGACATACACCTCGGCTGTCAACCCAACTGTCTGATGTGTTTTCTATGGGTTCAAACCACTAGATCGGAATCTTGTATGTTGAAATTAGAGGAAAGGATTAGAGATGTGTAATAAATGTGGAATGATTAACAGTACATATTATCAATCCTCCCATGCCATATAAAACAATCCAATGTTCTTTAACACACAACCCTGACTATCCTTTCACCAAAAAAAAAATGGGATGTGTCAGAGCAAAGTCAAGGAATTATACACCGGAAAAAGAGATTCCAATCTGATGGTTTTCCATAATTTAACTAGTGTAATTAGTCATAACCCGTGCAATGCAGGAATTGGTGTTTGAAAATCGTTTTTTATAGTAATTACCCTTGATTTTTTTTGAGTATCTATATATGTAATAAAATTGAACGTGCTATATCAGCAAGCATGGTTCTTTTTCCTTGTGGGAAACCTTCTTTCTAATTTTCTTCTGTATTTTTAAATTTTTTATTTTTTTATTCCACGTAGTTTGTAAGAAAACCAATCAAACGGGAGAGAACCCATAACTCTCTCTCTCTCTCTCGTTCTATCTTTGTATTGAGTGAAAACCCAGTGTCCCCTTTTCTTTGTTTTGGGCAAAACCCTAGAATCCTCTATGTCTTTGTATGTCGGCATTCAGTTGTGATTTCTAAGGTTATGGAAGAGGTATCAAGGTCAGTGGATATGTGGTCTAGGTAAAAGCTATGAAAGATGAAATTGTCAGATTGGAGTAGGACTGTCAATTGGACTGGATTTGGTCCAATCCAATATTGCCATTTATAAATGGATTGGACCAAATCTAATCTAAATTCATACAAATCAAATTCAATCCGGTCCAAATAAAATGCAAACGGACTGTATTGGGTCCAATCCAAATTGAATCAAACACCAAAATTACATGAAAAATTCAGAAAAATGTATAAAAAAAACTATAATGCCTATTGTAATCCAATCTGGTTCAATTAAAATGTAAATGGACCGGATTGGGTCTAATCTAATCCAAAGTGAATAAAAAAAATAAAATTACATAAAAAACCCAAAAAATATATAAAAGCATCTTCTGCAATCCAATCCAATAAAAATGCAAATGGATCAGATTGGGTCTAATCAAGTCTAATCCATCCTTATTAACAAAAAACTCATGTTCAAGTGATTCTCTCCCTCCTACAATACAAACCATTCACCCTTCACAAAAATAAAATAACAAAGGTAAAATGATTAGGTGAAACCCGCCACAGCGGATGATCGATCCTATAACGATTATCTTCTTGCTCACTAACAATAAATGACTCGCGTATTTAAACAAGAGCATTAGCAGCTTATAACACAGTGGATCATCGCATACCGTTGTGTGGCCCTCTAGACACTTAACCATCTCCAATAGCTTCAGAACTTTATCAGCAAGAGAAACGCAGGTGTCTAAATGAGAGAGTAGTTTCGAGAATACTGAACGATTCCGAGTTGGACAAGCTGTAATCTGATTTCTTGGATCCGCTTTGGAAGTCAGATAACCCTTCCTTCTCGGTGATTAGATGCTGGTGCTGACTGTTGTTACAAGAGAGAGAGAGAGTCAATACTGATAGATGCTCAGAGAGAGGGGAAAGCAGGAGGGGTGGAGGCATGGAACCTATGCCTTCAAAAGTTTGGATTTGGAAGTTTCAAATGAAAGGAATGGACCTTCGGCTTAATTGGCTTTATCCAGTTTCAGTCGGCTCTATGCGTGGATGATTTTTTGTTCGGACCAGCTAGTCCAAGTCTATACCATCATTCGGGCCGTCCAATCCTGTCTATAACATTTTCGATTTGGACGGGGTCCAACCTGAAACCGGTCCATTGACACCCTTAGATGGGAGGGGCTGATTAGTACTAAAAGAACCTCTATTGACTCCACCTCCAAACCCTACAAAGCATATAATTACCACCATGAGATAGCTTTTTCACAGAATCTTGGACTCTCCGAGAGTCCTAAGGTTGATGCCAAGCAGTTCTCAAGAAGATAAGGTGCTGGTTGAATCAAAGCACATTACATAGGCAGAAAGGAAAAATAGACTTCCCTGTTATTGGTGATTGATTAATGAGTATTATGCTTTGGTTGAAAATCTTTTATTTTTTATATTCCGAATCCTAGAGATATTTTTCTTATTTCATAAGAAACTTGCTCATTACTCTTAATGACTCAACGTGGCTCCCTTTTATCTTCAACTTGTTTGATTTATTCTCAATCTCTGTAACAAGCCATTTTCATTTGTTTTCTTTCTCTAATACAACGTGATTTGGTCTGGTGCAAGAAATTGCAGTGCATTTTATGATTGGAAGGACTATTACCAGATGGTATAAATTTGGTGCTCAAGAATTAGGCCTTTCCTTTATGTTAAATTTTTATTTCTTATGTTTCATACATTTGAGGGTGTGGCTCTAAATACATCCTACAGATTGCATATGCTAGCATTTCCGGAATTGATGTACGAAGAGGGTCAGCTATTTCTGGATTTGTGGGGAAGACATTGGATGTAAATCTATTTAAACACATTTGTAATTATTTATTTATTGATTTTGGACTTTTTTTTTTTTTTCTGAACCACGCTAATTTCAGTGAAACTTCAAATATGTTGAGGTTATAAATAGGCATTATAAAATGGTTATTGAAGGAAGTGTTTCATATGTTACAATTTAGAGCCAAGGGAGGAAGGGAGAGAGGTGTTGCAAACTTAGTGGGGGTGAGAAAGAGCTTTAGGGATTTAATGATTTTTCATTGGATGTTATCTATTTTTCTTTTGTTATTACTTAATGTTGGGGTTTTCCCTAATACTTGATATGTGGTTTCTCGTGATTTTGTTTAGGGTTTTCATGTTAACAGGTTTTGGCCTTCCTGGATGGAGCTTGCCCTCCTATTCTGCATCATTCCAGTTGTTCATGTATTGACCTCTTCTACAATGGTAGTTTTCTATTTGTTAATATTCTAGTGAGGTTTTCGAATATATTGGTTCCTTTTTTGCTCTTTTGGACATAGGGATTCTCGTTTATGTCATGACAGTGTGTGAGTTTTGAACCTTAGGTTTTCTTGGAAGTTATAATTGGGTTGTTTTGATTCTATGCTATGTTCCTCTTTCAAGGTATACTGTTTTAGCATACCTAAGAAATTTCATATTATACTATTGGTTTTTTTTCCCTAAAAGAACTAGAATTTTTCAGTATATACTAATGAACCCATTTTTTTTTCTTTTTCTGTTTTGAGTGTGTACTAATTTGTTGTAAAACTACTTTTTTTTTTTTGTTTATGTTTTTCTTTCAAGGTATATTTCACTTGGATATGATGCAGTGGGAACAATGGTGAGGTCTTTTCTTTATTTCCAGCATAGGCAAAGTTTATACTTTAGGATGAACTCAAGTATTTGAGTTCTATTAGTTTCTATTAGTTTTTTTTTTTTATTTCCTGCTTCTATTAGTTCCAGCATAGGCAAACTAATTTGTACATTTTGTATTTCCTGCTTCTATTAGTTTCTGTTCTCAACTTCAATTTGGGGTTTCTTTCTCTAACATTATTGTTTTTTTTTTTTCCTTTTCTATAGTTTTCTCTAAGGCTATGTTTGGTTTGAAGGAAAAGTTAGGGAAAAGAAGGGAATGGTAGGGAAACATATACAAAGTTTGTAAAGACTTCCTTACATTTCTTTTTCTTTCCCTACTTTTTCCTTCAAACCAAACATAGCTTAATATTCATATTTTTCTTTTGTTCTAGAGCTTCCAGTGACTAAGATTAGGGGACAACAAAGACAAATTGGGTCAGGTTGGCAACAACCAAATTTACCAAAGTTAGTTTTCTCTTAAATAAAAGTATTAACATAAAGGTGTGTTTGTTCTTGCATAACCAATATATGTTACTTTACTTGCTTACACTTACAATGGCATTGAAAGGAAATGGGATCCATTATTCACAATGGTAGCTCCTTTGGCAAGAATCATGCAAGTGATATTATGGTTGATTACATTATTTACATTGTTTAATATTTGGTGAGAAAGATCCTTAGGCTGCGCTTGGAAAAGATGCAAATATGTAGAGTGTAAATCGGTTCATATAAATTGCAAAGCTGGGTTAGTTTTGCACTAACAAATTTACCTTCTTACCAAATAGACTTTTAGTTATAATGGATGCAAATGCAAATTCAAATAATGCATATGTTTTTTTTTTTATTAAAAGCCCACTTGAATGCAAATTTACTTCTTTTTTATTGATGTACTTTTACATCTTATTATCAATATAAATATGCATTGGTCTATCATTTGTCAATACATAAATATAATGTTGTCAAACACAGGCAAAAGTGAACCAAAGTACAAATTTACCCTGAACCGAGATTTACACTTCATTTGCATCGTTTCTAAATGCAACCTTAAGTATTCATTCATTTAACAAACCCTAGTGGGTGTACAATTTCCTGCAATTAGTGGATTGCTCTTGATAATTGTTGAGTTTTGTCTAAATTATTAACCCATTAAATGCTTAAATGATGAGTTGTTATTCATCAAAGCAATAATACCTTAGTTGGTAAATGCCTTCTCAACAATAAGTAAACATTGTGTCTTGCATTCTTGCTAATGTCTTTCTACAACGTATTGTTGTTTGCGAAATGTCATAGAGATAAAAAGGCATGGCACAAGGCACCCAAACGAGAGCCAAATCTCCCAACTGATGACGGTCCAGCAGCTATGATGCTTTTGACTACTGCAA